GGCTGTCCCCTTCCCTGTCCTTGCACCTCTCCTTGCCATCCAGGTCGCGCCTCCCCCATTCCCCATGTTTTGGTCTCTGGTTCCTGCACATTATTGCCTCTCAGCCCTGGCTTTCCACCGGTCTCACTGTGGCCTTGAACAAATCACTACCCTCTAGGGGCTGTCCCATCTATGCAATGCACAGACAATTTCCAAGGTCCTTCCAATCCTGGTGCATGGGATCTACAGTTTCCCTTGCAGTCTTCCACTGAGGATGGCAACAGAGGGCAGCACCCCAATGGAGCATATCAGGCATCTCCAGAGATAGGACCCCCACTGTACAGATGCCAAAGTTAAAGCACACAAAGAAGTGATTCATTCAAGGTGGTCCAATAAATTCAAGGCGGAATAGTGGCCGGAAATGGGTGACAGCTCTTAACCCTCCCCTCAGGGTCACTGTCCCTCTTCACTGGCTCATGGGCAAAAGGGAAACTGTTCATAGATAAACACCAGGCAAGGCCTTGCTCAGCAACCTCCCAGGGATCCGATCACAGGTCCTTGAGCCTTCCTGCCACCTTCTCCAGTCCCAGTGGGTTCATCTGTAAACTGGATGAGTAAGCCCTGCCTACCTCCCTCAGGGTGAGCTAATGGACGGAAAGGCCCAGTGCTGCTGGTGGAGAGCTTAGAAGTAGAATAAAGGAGCATCAGACTCCGGGTGGAGCACTGGTGCCTCAGTGTCCTCTCTCCGATATGACACTGCCCATCTTCCTTCTGTCTGCAGAGAAGGGCAGAAAGGTCAAGCACTTGGTACAGGGCATCAGAACTTGGGCCCAAGAGAGGTCCTATGCACCAGCATCCTGGAGCCCATGGAAGGGAGCTGCTTTTAGGACAGGCACCACCTGCAGATCAGCCTAGTCCTGGTATAAGACACAAAGCTGTGGATGAAGGGGCTTTGGTTCTGAGGGCCAGTCTCCTCCCCCATCAACCTTGTGGGCACCCACACTCCCACCAGCTTCCCCTATCCAGCATCACCTGAGTCAATTTCAGATCCCTGTTTCTAGAGAGAAAAGAGTGGGTTGAGCTCTCTCCTCCCTCCATCCCTCTCTCTCTAAGTCAAAATCTCCTTCCAAAGGCTCCTTCTGTCCAACACAGCAATTGTACAGGCTGCAGAGTGAGTCTCTGCTTCTCTGACCTCTGTGGGTGGGAGTAGATGGAAGCTTGGGGAGCAAAAGCTAGAGGAGGCATCCTCCTCTGAGGCCTGTCTGAGCCCTCTGGGGCTTTCTCTGTCCCTCTCCTCAGCCCCCAGCCTTCCTGCCTTTCCCATTGATTCTGGACATCAGAGAAGGCTGAGTGATCAGGAGGGAAATCTGCTGGCAGCCCTGGCCTACCCTAGCCCTAGAGTGAGCACTGCAGCCCACTCCAAGCAAGGTCTTGGGCCCTGAAACTCCAAGCTTCCTTTTCTCCTACTCCAGGGAAGGAGAAGGGTTGGGGTCATGGGAGGAGGGAGTGAACTCATCTCTGGATCCCCAGAGACAGCCCCATCCTAACCCTCTAGGGGACCTGGAATCAAGTTCTTGGCTTTTCTGAATTCATGTGCTTTAACAGGGGTGGAGTGGGGGATAGGGGGGTTGGATCTTCAATGTGGTAGCATCTAGAAGCTCCAGAAACTTCGGTTCGGTGGGGAGGGGGTGCTTCCTCCAGCCCCAGCTCTATCTGGCTGCCCTCCAGGCAGAAGAAGCATCTCTGTTTACCCTCCAGGCTCCTCAAAGGCCCTTGATGACAAGCCAAGCTTCACTGGGCAGGATGCCAGGAAGTCACAGAGAGGTGCTAGCCCTCCTCTATAGTGTGGCAGTCCAAAAGGTCAACCAAAGGCCCTTATGTCTCTTTTCAGGGCCAGCCCAGTTTCCCGCTGATTATGTAGAGGGAGTTCTGGATGGAGGCCCAGCTTCTAGGTGGTGGTGCAGTGTCCTAGCTGGGAGGCAGAGGATCGTCAAGTGAAGGGTGAACTCTGAAGACAGTTGTCTTCATTGATTCTCCAAAAGAAGAGGAACCAGGGCCTCACTGCCAGGCCAGCCCTAACACTCTAAATAAAAAAGTAAATATCTAGAAGACCAGCCCCCTTCTTCAGGCCTGCCCAACCCTTGAGATTAACAGTCACCCCAACAGCAATGTCTTGCTAGAGGCCCACTGTATGCCAAGGTTGAGGCTGTGTGTTCACAATCATCACATTTAATCCTTTGTCTTCTTTTTTTTTTTTTTTTTGGTCTTTTTTTTTGGAAATAGGGCTGTAGCCCCAGCAGTCCTAGAACTCACTGTGTATTCCAAGCTGGCCTTGAACTCACAGAGATCTGCCTGCCTTTGCCCCCCGAGTGGTGGGATTAAAGGCTTGGGCCATCACACCCACCATAACCTCCAAAACAATATAAATAAAACTGGAAATATTTTCTTTTGGTTGGGCTGTTTAGCTATGCACTAGTACTGTAAGTGGCCTCATTTCAGGACCAGACCGGCTTGAACTCAGAGATCCACCTGCCTCTGCCTCCTGAGTGCTGGGACTACAGGCATGCACCATCACGCCCAGCTTACATTTAATCCTTAAAGTCTTTTAAATCTTCAGAAAATCTTCAGATTGCAGGTTGGGAAGAGGTGGAAACCTACCCAATATCACAGAACTAAGGACAGTTTGGGGCTGCCCCTCCCTGCCCTGCTAGATGTTCAGACTAAGGCTCAGATGTACAGCAGAAGCCACTGGCCTCCTCTTTCATAGGATGCCCCGGCCTGTGTCACACACACCTGAGTCAAGGAGCTGGGCCACCACAGCCCCTTCTCAACATAAGCATCTTTTGCCGCAGGCTCGTGCACAGCCTCCTGAGGTCCCGCAGGTCTGACAAAGCACACAACATTTTGAAGGTTTGTGCATTTTTCTAGGGAAGTCAATTTAGACTTTCATCAGATTCCTAGAGGAATAAGTGACCTAAAAAAGGTTAAGAGCACTGATAGTTCTGGAACGATGTCTGAAATTGATTAGGCAAGGCCTGGCCATGCCTACCATCCTCTGTTTCCCTGCCATGGCATGCAATTTCTCCTCACCTCTAAAATTCTGCCCCTACCCTGGTGTCTCCTAGCACCCAGACAGTTAGAGGGGCTGAAGAGGCCAAGTCAGCCCATCGAGCCCAGTCCCAATGATCCCCATCTCCTCTCAAGGCAAAAGAACACTTTGTTGTCCCTCTGATCCCTGGAGTCACAGCTCAACTCCATTTCACTGTGCTCTGTGACGCAGTCCTGCCAGAACCCAGCCTTAGTTGGATCCCTCATAGGCAACTCCTGGGTATTCAGGGAGTTTCTAGATTCCAGGTGAAGACTGAACACCCTCTGGAAAGGGGTTCCAGCTCATTTAAATGAAAGCCTTAGTCCTCTGGAGCAGACACAATCATTGTATTCCTGCACCCCCATCTCCAGCACAAGATATTCAGAATAGTAGGATATCTGTACATAAGTGTAAATACACATTTGCACAAGGGTGCTTATGTCTGGACAAGGGAGCTGGTGTGTATGTAGGTATGGGTCTGGATAGGATGGATGGATGGATGTGTGTGTGTATGTGTGTGTGTGCATGGGATGGGCTTATATACAGCCATAGGTCCACCTCCCACACATATGCAGACACAAGCATGAGCTCACACATGCCTTCAACACCCACATACCCACACGAGCCCATGAGCCCAAGCCCCAACACGTACACACATACCCCTTCCTGTACATATTCAAGAGATGTGCACACTCAGACTGCATAGGAACATTGCATCCACATCTCACTTGTGTGTCCTTACACACCTCAGATCCCACACATGAGCCCACTGATGTGTACACAGCTCTGACCTGATACATATATGCACACAGAGTGATGCATGTCCATACCCACACTGCCATGCCACCTAGCTAACAGCATCTCTTGCACTCACATACCCTTGCAGGACAGGCTGGCATTTTCAAGCTTTACATACATGCACACACACAAACACTTCTTTATGGTATACTTGCATGAATGTTTGCATACCTTTTCAGCACACTGTGTTCCCCAGGGTCTGTTCTTATACAATACAATCAGCTGTCCATGAAAGTTCACATACAATCACACATGAACTCTCTCCTCAAAATGTACACTGGTACACACAACTCCAGACCTCATGCTGGCACACATCTGCTTACAGGAACCCTCGCCCCATGTTCCTACTGCTACGTAGGGCTCTCTGCTGCACTGCTCTCTCCTGACCCATCCCAGAACCCTCTACAAGCCCAGCAGGAGACATCTGGGAACCTTCCCTGATATCCGAAGTCTGCTGAGCTCCCCCAAGGGAACCCTTCTCTACCTCCCACCCTTCTATCAGTATCAGAGGCACTGCACAATGGGCAACTTTGCCAAAGAACCACAGCTTCTGTACCCAGCCGCTGCCAGAGTGGTATCCCCAGCTTGCTGATTGTCCCTCCCCACTCCCAACACCAATTGCTTTCATGTTAACCCCTTCCATACTGATGCCCTCTCTTTGGTAGGTACTAGGTAGTGGGGGAAGGGATGTGCCAATGAAAAGCTAGCTACTCTGCAAGGTGTCTAAAGTCAGGATCCCCAGAAGGTGGGTGGTGTACACTGTCACTGGAGGTAAAACTACAGAAAGGATCCCAGCTTGGACCCAGTCAAGTGGGAAAATCCCTTTGTAACCCTGGATTTCTAAGAATCTGTGTATTCCAGGTCATGTGTACATGTGTGCATAGGTGCATGCACACTGGCATATTGCATCAACCCATCACCCTTACACACACACACACACGCACACACACACACACCAGGCTGGTTGGGAACATCTGCACCTACAAATGTGTCCACAGCTAACTCTGGACACCCTGTGTGCAAAGTGCCCCCAAACCATGCAGTGTGCCTCCCTCTGCATGCACGAGAGCTGTGGCCACATAGGCACATGCCCTCTGCCCCCGCACCCTCCAGGATTCCCTGAGGCACAACTCACTTTCCCAGTTCCTCAAAGAGCTGGTACTCTTCTGTGAATCGGGTGCAGGTAATGGTGGCCATCCTGGCACTGGGTGGGCAGGCGAGGCTCGAGGCTGGGGAACTGGGATGTTGCTGCTCTGCTCCCGGAACTAGGGGCCACTCGCCTGCCCGTGCTCCCAAGTGCAAATGGAGAACCGACTTGACTGACGAGCCTGGGGCTTCTGAGCAGGGCACTGTAGCTGCTCACAGCCTCGCGAGCCTTCGTCAGCATCCAGGTCCCCATGGCAACCACCTCCGAAACGCCCTGTTCCCGTTGCCCCGGTAACTGCCTCCCCAACACCTGCCTGCCTTCCACTGCAAAACCTGCTCTCGTCCTGGCCCTACCATTCACAATACTGCAGGACTGTGTGGGCCCAGGAGCAGGTGGACCCTGTGCCCCCGGGGTGATTGACTGAGGGGGATGGAGAAGGAGGCAGGGAACAAACTTAGTCCACAAGTGGTCTCTCTTCCTGCCTCCCCCACCTCCAACTATGAGGTCTTTCTAGTAGATGGGATGGGATTAAGTGGGGCAAAGAGGCAGTTGCTATAGCAACAGCTAGTGGGTGCCACATTCTGGGATGGTCCTCAGGAAAGACAGGATATAGTTACCCTGGCAACTTCATCTCCTCTGGAGAGACAGGTGTTGCCCTGTTGTCCTGGCAACAGCTAGGTCTAAGGTTTACAGGGGAACGATGGCTAATTCCTCTCTTTCTCATCTCTACAACAGTTTCTCTGATCCCTCTGGGAGTTGCTTGGGTTGCTCTGCCTCTGTCCTTATTTTGTTCCTGCTCTCTCTGCTCTTCAGCTACCTTGTATAACACAGTTATCCCAACTTGGGGAGAAGGGCAGAGCAGGTCCAGGACTCTGAGGGGACAACTTTGGCAACCTGTTCACCCCTACCTGTCACCTCTCATTGTGCAGCCAGGCCCTTCCTGAGGCCTCTTCCACAATCTCTCCATACCCATGTCCCTAGAGGGGCAGTGTAGGTCTGGTCTCCTGGAGTTCATGTCCCTGTTTCTGCTGGTACTTCATGTCAAGGTAGAATTGGAAGGCAGCTGGGATGAGGAGAATATGGCTTGGCAACACCCAGGGCTGGGCCAGAGGCACGAGTGTGCCCTGCCCTGAACTCTTCCTCCCCAGCTCCCTGCTAATCTTCCCTGACAGCCTCACTTCTTCAGTGCATCAGCCACACCGACAGCCACAAATGTCACCCTGGGAGATTAAGGAGAGGAACTGGAGTTTAAAACTAGTGATCTGAGTTCAAGTTTCAGCTTTGGCATTTATTAACTCTGTGACCTTGACCTCCAGTTCATTTTCCAGAAAAGTAGGGATTGAGGGACACCCTGCAGAAGAATTCTGTGAAGATAGAGCAGCCTAAGGCCATGAAGATCTCTGGAAAGAAGACAGCATGAAGTGTTCTCCTGGTTTCTAGAAAATGAAAAGGAAGGTTTAAGGTAGGATCATGACCATTCCCACACTGCAGCTTTGTCTTGCACACTCATCCCTCCATTGACAAAAAAAAGAATGTCTCCACTCATTTCACAGCTGGCTGGGCAGAGGCCTCATGCCAGCATTTGCCCCAGTGAGCAAGGGGCAGAGAAAGGGGACACAAATGTTCTGGGTTTCCAGCTCATCCTCTCTGGACATGAAATTGCTGCATTGCTCACCTAGCTTGTGTTGGTGGGGATACATTGGTACCTTTGAATATTCCCCAACCCTAACAAGTGCCTGACTCACCCGAGGCCAGGAGACCCTGGAGACATCAGGGGACCCCTCTGTCCCTCTTCCTGAGAGTCAGTAGTTGGGGAAAGTTGAGAGGAGAGCTCTTCAATTCAGCTACTTTTCCCAGGAAAGGAAAAGGAGGGAGGTGGAGGAAGAAGGAGGGAGGCACCGCCAGGGAGGTGGGGGTAATGGCTTAGCCACTAATTGCACCATTACCACCTTCAGAAAAAGGAAAAACCACTCCGTTTTGTTTCTGCACACAATATGCTTCCCGCTTCTACCGCCAACGTGGCAATTCAGAGGCAGAGTGGAGAGGCCTGTGCTCACAGGGGCACAGCCGGTGGGCAGCGGGCAGGCACAGAACACCATGACTGAAGCTAGAGGCACAAGAGGAAGGCAGGGAGGGTGTGCTAGACTTGTGCCCTCCTGCTCCAAACCTTCTAGCCTGTCCCCAGGAGGAGATGGCTTCCTCACATGGGAAGGTTGGAGCAACCTCAGTGACCACTACAGCCACCCTGTCACTTCCCAGGGGAGGTAGTGTTGATCAATTATCAGTGGCTGCATGACTTACAGGCTGTGTGATTCTGAGTGAATGTCCTACCCTCTCTGGACCTTTTCAGGTACAAAATTGGGTAAATAATACTTCTTACTAGCAAGGCCGTTTTTGTGAATTAAATGAGATGTACAGTGGCTGATACAGAAGGAATTATTAAGGTACTCAAAATCCTTTCCCTCATACCCTTCCCAAATCGTGGAGTTGCACACCATCATCTCCAAGTTCCAGCACTTTGGGGCATAGTCCTCTAAGTCCTTGCTAGAGTTTAGCTCATGGTTTGGACATTGCTTGTTGTGGACCTTATGCAATTTCTGCAGAACAAATGACAGGGACTAAAATAGAGGAGGTCACTAGGACCCCAAACTCATCAGGTGCTGATGGTGTGACCGCTGCTTTGAAATCAGTAAAACAAAAAAGGGAAGATGCCAAGGGGCTGTGTGCATGGAAATGTGGTGTTCTGAGCAGAGGCAATCCCTCTGCTTAGCCCAGGGCTGGCCTCCCTCCACTCCCACAGATGAAATGCAGTGGTTGGCGCAGAAGCCAGTAGAGCATGTTGGGGGAGGCCCTGATGTGGGTCGCTGAAAGAATCCCCCAGATCCAGGGGACCACGTGAAGGCATGGAGTAGCATAGTGGCCAGCCTGCTACCTGCCCCTGACAGAGACCATGGGGTCCTCACTCCACTCCAGGCACCCTGCCATCTGCTCTTCCTGCTTCCAGTTCCCTTTCCTCCCTTTCTCTATCACACATTTTCCTTTCCTTCCCTGCCCCTTCCTTCTCTGCCCATTTCTGCCCCCATCCTCCCCTTTCTCTGCCACCTTTCTCTTCTCTCCCAGGCATGCAGAGCTGGGGGATGGGCAAGGCCCAGGCCCCTGGACCCACCTAATGGTGGAGAGTTAGCTGGACAGGAGAGGCAGGCTGAGGAGGGAGGTGAAGAAGAGACCTCTTGACAAGCCTTACACTTGCATGTGTGGATACCCTTTAGAACCTTCTAGAGACTAGCTTAGGGGTGCAAGCACCGCCTTTGCTGGTCACTCACATACTGAGTGCAACTGCCATTCTGCTGAGGAGGCACGACCACTAATCCACTGCTTCCCCTATGCCTGAAAAGCTGGCAGCTGTGCCCAGTGATGGCATGCATGGAGGAGCCAGTCATGCCTGCATGGTGCTGAAAGAATGAGCCGATAATTTCATGAGGGGGGCTTGTTCCTGCCAGACTCCCCACTCCCCAGGGTCACGGCAGGCACAAGAGTCCAACATGTGCACCCCATCTGTAACACGTGTGGTACTCAAGTGCAGGCCCATGTGCCATGGGCTGGTGGCCAAGAGTGGGAGCCCTGGAGGTTGCTGATCCAGCATGGCCATGCCAGAAGAGGGACTGGCCTATGAACACAGTGCCTGTTTCAATGGGAGGGACAAAAGGAGGCTGTGTGAGCTGGGGTTGGAGGTTAGAACTCTAATGACACTGGGGCAGTGTGCCAAGTGTCAGGGACTTGCAGGGCCTGAACATGCACCCCAAAATCATGTCATCTGAATAGTCCCCGTGGGGCCTGTCCCACTAAGGGCAGCAAGCAAGGGGGGCAGGCTCAGTGGAAAGTGGGGCAGGAGACAAGTGATGCTATGAGGGTCTGAGTGGAAGGCAACTGGATTAAGACAGTGTGGCAAGTGATGCCAGGGTTCAGAGTAGAAGGGAGGGAGGTAGCACTGTCCCCTAAAATGCTTCATGCAGAAGTCCTCCTTGAAGGGAAAAGCAAAGCAGGAGCCACAGGGCAGAGGACAGTAACTGCTGAGCCGAGGGCTGTGTGGCACACCCTGCAGTTTGAGGCCCAGTTCCTGTGCTAAGAGAGCTGAAAGCAGTTCTTTCCCAGTGGTCTCATTTCTTCCTGGGAAGGTCAGGGACAAAATAATACTCATTCTTGGGCCCTGAGGACATGAAGCAGTTACTCCCATGTGAGAGCCAGACCTTATTCTAAGAACTTTTCTTTGGACCTTACAGCAAACATGGGTAGAGATGGGGACAGTGGTCTCCATTTTGCAGATATGAAACTACTTACCCACCTGAGGACATATAGCTGAGGCTTAAATCCAGGTCTGTGTGACTTCAGCACTCCTGCCCAGAGTTATTAGGCCCCAGGTAGAGCTGGGAGGATCTTCAGTGATCGTATGTCCCTTTGAGGTGGGAACCAAGGCCCAGAGAGTGAAGGCTGCCCTCCCATAGGTGTCAGCCAGGATGACAGCCTAGAGTTCCCGGCTCCCTGAGCATTGCTTCTTCCCTTTCCCTGCTGTGCCCCTTCCTGGCACTGTCAGAGTGCTAGCCTGTGTCCCAAGGGAGCCAGAAGTACGTGGAAGAACAGAAGACACTTCCCTGGCCCAGACAGATAGGGAGCTCCTTCTGGCTGCAAGGAAGTTAAAGCCCAGGACTCCACAGTCAGGGTCAAGCTAGGAAAGGCTGCCACCTGAGCCTAATACCACCAGCTAAGAGGTCTGCTGCCTGGAGAGAACTAGGTCCCAGTGAGCATAACTGGGCTATCCTCTGCGGACCTACGACCAAGGCCCAGGGTTGCTGCTGGATGCCCTCCCTTCTTCTCTGTCCCCTTCACAGGGACTCAAGTAATGTAAGCATAGGCTCAGCAGTGCCAGTTGAGGACCTGGCATGAAGTACAAACTCAGGTGCACTGGCTGAGGAAGTACACCATGCCATAGGAGGGAGCAGGTGGTAGACATGCTGAGTGCTAAGCTGAGCTTCTTGGCACAATGCCCCAAAGACCCTCCATCAGCCCCAGGTACCAACAGGTCACCAGTTCCCAGAGACCAGGTTGCAGGCTGGAGCTTGAACGGCTCCTGGACTGTGCACTGGCATCTGGGTTGAGCAGGACTCTGAGTTCATTGAGTTTTACACTGTACGACTGGACAGAGGAGGCTTGGGCCAAGCTTGCTTTTCAGGATTTCAGCAGTCAGCACCAACCCCATCCCCAGCTGTTGCCTACATTTTGAGACCATGTTGGCTGCAGGGAGTAGGCCTTGAGGTATAGGGAAGAACAGAAAGCACCATGACGTATGGTCCTGCTCTTGTACCTCAAAAGGGTCCTCAGAAGGGAAATGAGAGGTAGGGCTGGAAGTTAGGAAACCATGCCAGGCAGGGGCCCTTCAGCAGACCCCAGAGAAGCACCTACACAATTTTCCAAATCCTGGAGCCACAGAGGGACCCTGACTGTGGGCCGGTCTGGCAGGCAGGGCAGAGCTGGAACAGGACCCAGCTTGGCTGGAGTGTCCTGGGCAGTGGGCAGACCACAGACAGCCCACATCCTTGGGTACCCTAGACTGAGACACCACTTAACAGGCATCTCCTTTAGAACATCCCTCCTAAGCAGGAAAAAAACGTAAGAGCCAGTAGAACCCGGAGACCTCTGCCAGTCCTGGGCCCTGACCACCAGCTGGACATTGTCATCATCAAGGCAGGAAAATCAAACAGGTGGGAGAGGTGAAAAGTGGCCAAAGAACAGGGTTATGGACTGGAGTGATGGCTCAACAGTTAAAGGCAGGTTCTGCTCTTACAGAGGACCTGAGTTCAGTTCTTAGCACTGACGTCACGTGGCTCACAACTACCTGTAACTCCAGCTCCAGGGGATCCGATGCCGCTGGCCTTCATGGGCCCTGTCCTCATATGCACATACCAACATGTAGACACACATTTATATACATAATTCGAAATAAAATCAACCTTTTTTGAAAAAGGGAACAGAGCTGTGGGGAAAACACAATGGTCACCTCCTCCCTGCAGCCCAGGTCAGGCCCTCATGTAGGACTCAGGCACTGCAGTGAAGAAGCAGCTCTGCAACAAGCACTCGAACCCCCACGGCACCGCACCCACCCCACCCTACCCATCCCGCTCATCCACAAGCTGACGAGTCCTAACAGGCCTCCTTTGCCAGTGACAAAAATAACTATTTTCAAAATTCACAGCAGGGCCTTCGCCTACACACACTGCGCCGACTGGAACCTGAAGGGAGCTACGAAGAACGCAGTGTGCGGATGGAGCCCGCTATGCAGCAAGCAGGCTTTGCAACCCCCACCCCCTTTTCCCCATAGCTGAACCTGTGCCTCCCCCACCCCCGCCCCACACACAAGTGCACAATGGTGCCCAGAACCACCAGGTCGTAAGGGCTCTTGGGTCATCCCCTGTACACAAGGGAACACTGGGGCTCAGAGAGGGTCAGGAGTCTGCCTGCAGTCACACAGAGAATCTGTAGCAGGACTCTCTGCCCACCTTTTCTCCAGTTCCCTCAGCCAATAGTGAGCTCATACATGCCCCAGGATGCACATGCACACACAGGTGGTCACACACCGACCCACATCTCTCAACTCTGGGCAATGGCACTTTAATTCAGCTCACAAGCTCTTCCACAACCATTAAGCTTGGCCAGTTTTCTATCCCTGTGAGGTAGGCAAAGCCAGGGCTAGCATTCCCCTACCCCTTTGCAGGTAGGGAAATTGAGGCCCCAGGGGAAGGACTGTGCCCAGGGTCAAAGGAAATGACTGGTTCAGAGGATCTTTTCACAGCTGTTTCCCCAACTCTCAACATGCAGCTGCTCCGGGAGTGTCCTGGGCAGTGGGCAGACCACAGGTGACCTGTGCCTGGGACTATGGATGGGGTGCTCCCTGGATGTTAGGGAAAGAAAGAAGAGCGGTCCACCAAGTTCCCACACCATGCAGCCCCAGGACTGACCAAGGCGTGTAAGATCCAGGAAAGGTGACTTCCCAGCCTCATGCCCCATACTGTCAGCCCTCACCAGGTCCCTTTATAGAGCATCTAGCTGCTGTCCAAAAAAGAAGGCCCTGGGCCCATATCATCTAGAAGGTGGCAAGGTCAACAAGGAACTCTGCCACAGCCCCAGGCACAGGTCACATAAACTCATCTTACAGGTGAGGAGACCAAGGCCCAATGTTGCTATAGGTAACCTGAGTCTCAGGAGAGAAACAGGCCCAGGATGCAGGCATACCAGACTAGTTTGTGCCCTCTCCCCAAGTTTCCATCCTATTCAGTTGCGGGCTTCTATGCCCTCCACTTTCTTATCAATAAAGACTTGGTCTTCTCCCTGAGAAACAGCAGTGGAAAAGTGAGGGGAACTTGAGATCCCCACCACTCCCATCCATCAGATTCGGTGGGACATCAGCCTGGTGTTGAGTTTACGAAAAAAAGATCGAAGCTTGCAAATCTTGCATTTCTTCTTGCGTCGCCCCCGGGAGAAGCTCTGAGCCCCACCTTCCTCCTCCTCCTCCTCCTCTTCCTCATCACTGGCCCATGGCCCCCAAGCACCCCCATTAAAGTCAGGGTGGGCCCGAGGGTTCTCAGCTGGATAGCGCACAGGGATGGCAGTGCGGTTATAATCGGCCAGGCGGGCCAGCAGGGTACGGACAATGTCAGGTCGCTGGCCAGCCAGGTCCTCTCGTTCGTAAGGGTCAGCACTGATGTTAAACAGCCACACAGCTTGACGGACACTGGCCATCCTCTCCAGGTTCCACCAGCTGCCAGGGAAGGAGGCCAATGTCTGTGGTGGGATCCAGTCACCATAGCCTGGGTCTCCAGTCAGCAGCTTCCACTCTCCCACCCGGATGGCAGCCTGCACAGCTGTATTCCAGATGCCAAAGCCACCCTCCAGGGAGCCATGCTGGGCATGGTTGTAGAGTGGGTCGATATTGTGCAGGATCTCTGTGCGTGGCGAGGACCGGCCCTCACTGATGGCTGGCCACACATCATAGCCGTCCAGTCCATCAGCTGCTGATGTGGTACCACCTGCCAGACCCACCAGGGTCGGGTACCAGTCTGTGATATGCACCAGGGCCCGACTTGTCCGCCGCTTTCGCTTGAGCAGAGGGCTATGGACAAAACCCAGGCCCCGCACACCACCTTCCCAGTAAGTGCCCTTGCGTCCTCGAAGAGGCCAGTTACTGCCCCCCGAGAAAGTCTGGCCACCATTGTCACTGGAAAAGATGATGACACTGTTGTTATAGAAACCATAGCGCTTGAGGGCCCAGGTGATGTTACGCACAGCCTCATCCATGCAGGTCACCATGGCTGCGTACTTGCGCCGGGCCACATTGCCCATGGTGCGGTATCGATACAGGTACTCCCGAGGTGACTGTAGGGGTGTGTGTACTGCCTGGAAAGCCACGTAGAGGAAAAGGGGCTGCTGGGGGCTGTGGCTGGCCAGAATGTGGCTGGCACGCTGGGCATAGAGCATGGTGGAATACTGGCCGCTGAGACCCCAGGCCACACTCTCTCCCTCTCGAAGGTCGAAGCCACATACCCCTGGGCCATCGCAGTTGTCATAGGTGTAGTAGTCCACGTTGCCTGTGAGTGAGCCCAGGAAGGTGTCGAAGCCCCTGCGAGTGGGCAGGCACTCCTTCCGGTAGAAGCCCAGGTGCCATTTGCCCACCATGTGGGTGGAATATCCTGCCTCCTGTAGCTTCTGGGGCAGTGTCACCTGGTCCAGGGGCAGACAGTTGGGCTGCCGAGGGCGGATAATGGAGTGTTGCAGTCCTGTGTGGATCTGGTACCTGGTTGGGAAGGGAGGCATGGGAAACACAAGTGAGCTACAAATCACTGTTGGAGCCAACCAACCCCCAGTGCCACCCTGAGATGGGCTCTGGTCCAGCACTACCATCAGAGGGCTAATACATTATCTCGAATCATCATATCAATGAAGCAGGCATGCCATCTTGCAGATGAGCCTGGAATGACTGAAGTTCAAAATGGTTAAGACCCTTGCCCAGTACTACACAGCCAGGAAGCTGGTACATTAAGAGTTGAGGCGAAGCCTGGCATTGTGGCACCTGCCTTTAATCCCAGCACTTGGGAAGCAGAGGTAGGAGGATCTCTGTGAGTTTGGGGCTAGCCAGGACTAGATAGGGAGTTCCAGGACAGCCAAGGGCTACACAGTGAGATCTTGTCTCAAAAAAAAAAAAAAAAAAAGTTGTGCTGGGGTTAGTAACTACAGTAATAGCTGACACCAAGTCCTCACTGTGTTTTAGCATTGTGCTCCTTTGACACAAATCCTCACCACAAACTAGGAAGTACATGTTATTATTCCCATTTCCCAAATAAGGAAACTGAGGCTTGGGGAAATGAAATCACGTGCCTAGTGATTCACATAGCTAGTATACTGAGTAAGCTTTGCATTCCAGGGAATCTGGCTCCAGACTCCCAGAGCCCCTAGCTCTAAACTGAGAACTTAATATGGCACATATGTACACTAAGTCCTGCTCTCCCAGGAGAACTCCTGGTCCCTCTTGAAAGCCCAGCATAGTGTTATTCCCTGTGCAGTCTCTCGAAATTCAAAGGATGAGTTGCTCCCCCACCCCAGGCACTTAATGCACACCCTCATTGTCTTAGCTGGCCACGGGATTGCGATTGTGCATGTTATGGAATTGGACTGTCTTTGACTCAGCTTTGTACTCCTAGCCCCCCAGTGATGCTTCAAGCTCACTCAGTTATTTATGAAATGAATGGATGAGTGGATAGATGGATGGATGGATGATAGATGGAGATATTCAGGAGGTTTGGGAGCTAGAGGGAACTAACTTTTAGGGTTTTTTAATCTACTTTTTTTTTTTTTTTTGGATCTTTTTGAGACAGGATTTCCCTGTAGCCCCAGCTGGCCTGGAACTCACTATGTAGACCAGGCTGAACTTAGAGATCCTCCTGCCTCTGCCTTCTGAGTGCTAGGACTACAGGCGTGTGACACCACTCCCGGCTCATCTACTTTTTAAAAAAATTTTATTTTATGTGTATGTGTGTACTGCCTGCATGTAGGTAAGTGCACCCATGTCGTGCAATGCCCCTGGAGATCAGAAGAGGCTGTCGGATCCCCTGGGGACTGGAGTTTTAGACAGTTGTTAGCTGCCATGTGGGTGCTAGGATTCAAACCCGGGTCTTCTGCAAGAACAACCAGTGTTCTTAACTGCTGAGCCATCTCTCCAGCCTTCTCATCTACTTTTTAAAAGAAGTGAAGGTCAGAGGAGGGAAGGAGCTTTGTCCAAGGTCATTCAGAGGTTAGGGCCTGAGTCTTGAACATGAATGACAGCAGAATCCTGAACAGCCATGTTTCCCTGTAAAAGAGGTTGCCCAAATCTTCCCACATGGGCTCCAGTTGGCTTACCTGTATGAGTAAGCTGACTGGAATGGGAAGTCTCTAAGATATGACCTGTTCCCAGGCTTTATGAGACCAGCTCCCACGTGCCTGCTGTGAGCTCATGGCCCTTCTATCCAGGTTACTCACCCAGGCTAGTGCCCCAAGGCAGCAGTAAATGCTTAGCACAATCCTGAATTCCCTTTATTCATTCACATTCCATCTTCCCCCTGCTGTGGTCAGGGCCCCTATGTGATCTGTTAACAGTATCTTAAAAGTCCCAAGTAAATAAGAAGCCTGGAATTTCACAAGTGTGTTAGAGCCCCACACCTTTTCTCACCCCTAGGCATCTAAGTTAGCCAAGGCCTGAGGACTTGATATTTGACCACACCTTATTAATGTTTCCTTACCTTAAGGCCATTCTTAACACTTTGTGCCATATCCAGGCATTACTCATTTAATTCTGTCTCTTTGTCTCTCTCTCTCTCTCTCTCTCTCTCTCTCTCTCTCTCTCTCTCTCTGTCCTAGTGCTTTGATCATGCTCTTCAAGTGCTCTACCAACTGAGCTGTACCCCCAGCCCTCTTTTTACTTTTTATCTGGAAACAGGGGTTCACTAAGTTGTCCAGGCTGGCCTTGAACTCACTCTGTAGCCCAAGCAGGCCCTGAACTTTCAATCTTCCTGCTTCAGTCTCCTGAGTAGTTGAGATTACAGGTCTGCACTACCAGCCCTGGCTTAATCCTTTTTATTTTTAATTAATTTTATTTTTTAATGTGTGTATGAGGGCAGGATGTGTATGCATGAGTGTAGGCACACTAATGCCAGGGCACATACATGTGGGGGTCAGAGGACAACTTTCTGGGAGTAGGTTCTCTCCTTCCGTGGTAGGTTCCAGGGCTCGAACTCAGGTCATCAAGCTCACACAGCAAGCCTTTTTACTTGCTAAGGCATCTCACCAACCCAAATCTCTTTTGTAAAATATACATTGAACATTATCATTATCCCCATTCTACAGATGATGAAACTGAGGCTCCTCAAAGTGCAAGTGGCCCAAAGTCAGACACCTGGCAAGCAGTAGAGTTAAGTAGAGTTAAGCTTTGAACCCAACTCATGCTAAAAACCTTTGCCTTGACACAGCTTCTCCAGGCCTGAGGCAAGATGTTAACTGTCAAGAATTGGAACTGACAGGAGAAGCATCCTAGAGCTGGAATCCCAACTAAGGGGCACTGCATAAGGAGGGGACCTGGAGCACTGACTTGTAATGTGGGTGGGCCAGCCAAGAGCTGCCAAAGCCCATTTGTAATATGAGACATTTTGGTTCTTTCCAGCTCCATCAGACAGGACTGGCTGTATTAGCAAACATGGAGTAAGCATCTGTCAGAGGCAGCAGATGCAGAGGGTAGAATAGAGGGCAGGTGCTGGCTGGCCTTGTAATGCTCCACTAACCACACCGATCAGGGCCTGGAGTGCTGCCCTGGCTGCCCATACAGCTCCTTAAAGCAAAGTTACTGCACGCTGGGGAGAGAAAGGCCAACTGTACAAAGCTCCCCTCACAGATTCTCCCTCCTCCTTTAGAGGCTGTCACTGTCTCATGTCTCCTGCCTACTACCACTTCCACACCCCTCTTCCTCTTCTTCCTACATCTAAAGGCTGAATGCAGGTGGAAAGGAGAAAGGACACCATCATTTGTCCCAAAGTGACCCAAAGTCAGACAGCTCGCAAGCAGTAGAGCTTTGAAGCCAGGTACACTCAAGTCATGCTCAAAGCCTTTGCCTTATACAGCTTCTCCAGGCCTGAGTGAGGCAAGCTGGTGACTCTACCCAGCAACTGACTCCTCAGTCATCTCTTTCACAGGCCCCTCAAGTTGGGCAGAGAGCCCAAGCTGGGCCCTCCCTGACTCCGTGCCTCGGTTTGTTCCATCCAGGAGACAGATTAGGGCTCTGGTCCAAATATGGCATCTTTGGTCACACAGGTGTGTTTTGGCCCCCTTCCAGGAAGATTAGCTTCAGCCCAGGCAAAGGATTTACCTTCCACAACCCCCTCCTGTTTCCCTGCTCTTTTAATCATGTAATCCTCCGGTCAGCCTGGGGACCGCTCCTCAAATAGGAAGCAGCATACCTGGGGTCTCTCCAGCCACCTTGGGAGAGGTTTCTTCAGATGAGAAACACAGGCTTGGAGCAGTGAAGTAACCAGCTACACAGGTCTCCAAATCCCACCAATTCTTTTATCTTCTCCCAATGGAACCATTGAGTGGTAAGGAACCTGAATCTTTCCAATATACAGAGGCTGCCGTTTATCGATTGCCAAACAGGTTACATATAACTCATTCCCTTTCACTGTTCCTTTTCAAGATAGAAACTGTCCTTCCATCCATTTTACAGACAACGAAACTGAGGTTTAGAGAGACACATGACTAGCAAAGAGGCTCAAGGTCTGTGTCTGTCAACATATGCAGAATTCAAAATAGGAGTCAGATGTTCCTCTGACAAAGGGAGGAACAGATGAGTGGAATGAGTGTCCTAGAACACGGGAGAAGGTCCCGAAGATGATCAAACCCATTCGGTGTGAGTGAAGGGAAACTGAGGCTCAGAGAAGGCAAGGAACTTGCGGCTGATCTCATAACTATCGGAGACAAAGTCGGCCCACAATTCGTGCTTCCCAGCTCCCCTGCACCGGGTGATCCGCAGGTTTGCATCGAAGGCTTGGACACCCAGCCCTGTGTCTGGGCCGTGCCTACCTGCCAGTGAGGAGCTGACTCCGCGAAGGTGTGCAAATGGGCTGGATGTAGTAATTCTCCAGCTTGACGCCCTCAGCGGCCAGCCGGTCCAGCGTGGGGGTCTGGATATCTGAGCCATGGTAGCCCACGTCGTGGTACCCCTGGTCGTCGGTGAGGATGAAGATGATGTGAGGAGGCCGTGGTGGAGCAGCCGAGGGCTGCTCGCCGGCCTCCCCAGGCCCGTCAGCCACTAGGTTCGGCTTGGCCCAATCCCAGGACAGGTAGCCGAAGCTTAGCAGGCTGACCAAGGAGAATCCCGTGAGGGCGTGCATCGCGACTGCCCGGGCGGGCGCGCTGGGCTCCCCGGCCTCTGAGCCTTACCGCCGGAGGCGCACCGCCAGCCCGCCCGCCGGCCTGGATGCAGCCAGAAGGCTCCGGCCCCCGGGGGCCGCCCAGGGTCTAGTCCGGGACCGGCCGCTGGGCAGGGGGCTGGGCGTTCCGGGAAAGTCAGGCCCGCATCCAGCCGCCCGCGGCCGCCTTGGGTCCCTATCCCCTAACTCAGCCAGGCCAGCGGGAGTCTCCGCGTGTCGGCTTCCCAAAAGTGCTCTCCACCATCCCCCGACTCTCCGCTTCTTCTCTACCCCGAATCCCTCCCGCCTCCTAATTTCTCTGGTCACCGCTTTCCTTCTCTCCTCCCCACGACCCCCGATGCTCCAGGCCCGGCCTCTGGCCCAGCCCAGAGTCCTCCGCAAGGCCTGGCTCCCCGCAGGGAGATGGGCAGGACCCCACGGGGAAAGGGGAGGGAGACACTGGCTGGGAGAGCCTGGGAAGGGACACACAGCGGGAGAGACTGCGAAAAAGTTGTAACATCTGCCCCGCCGAGCCCCAGGTGGAGGGGCGGGACACCGAGCACGGCCCGCCCCCGGGCGGGGAGCCCAGGCCCGCGCCGTCGACTCGCTCCAACGCCCGCCCCTGGTCTGGACTAGCGAGAGGAGGGAGGGGGGCTGCTTGGAATTCGGTGGAACAATTCTGGAACGGCCGGGTCAGACATTCCTTGATCATGGAGTCTTTTAGCTTCTGAGTGCCAGCTCTAGAAAAGACCTGAGCATCATTTTCTAGGCCAACTGGGTCATTTCTAGAAATGGAGAGACTGAGGTCCTGAGATGGACCGGAGCTTAGCTAAGCCACAGAGCGAGTTAATGCCTTTTTCCTTTCTTGAGTGGCAGTACCCTTCTGGCCTTGTGAGTTTCCCTCCTCTCCACCTCCCCACTTCCTCACACCACTTCCCAGCTAGTCTTCGGGTGCTTCCAGATGGCAGAGAGTGTATACACCTGCACAGTAGGATCGATCTCAACCCTGACAGTCGCGGGAATAAATATATAAATGGGCTTTGGGATCAACCAGGCCAATTTCCTCTCACTACCCAAGGTCAGCAGGCAAACTCCAGCAAGTGTCAGGGTAAGATAGGCTGCTGGGTTGCCCCTGGGATGCACAGGCGTTCTGGCAGCTCCAGAACTGCAACCTTGTTTCTAGTAAGAATGTGGTTGTCATCCCAGAATGTGGACCAGTATCTCCAGAACTTCGGATTTTCCCAAAGAACACCCAAATCCAGATTCTGTGGCTATTCCAATTGTTAAGTGTTGGTAACTAATTTAAGCACTGTGAGGGTCACATCAACCTGACAAATATATCATGCCATCAAGTTCCCATTTGCAACTCTGGCTCAGCATCATTTTCCAGATTTGTATTCTTATTGTATTTATTTGTATATGGGGGGGGGCATGCTCTAGTGCCATGGCCCTCGTGTGGATGTCAGAAGACAACTTGTAGGAGTCAGTTCTCTCCTTCCATACTTATGTGGGTTCTGGGAATTGAACTCAGATAATCAGGCTTGGCAGCAAATGCAAATGCCTCTACCTGCTGAGCAATCTTGCTCTTAGGCTGCACTTTTAATAACCCAGAAAGGTTTCTTTGCTCCCAGGACTTCATATGTTTAACATGGCTGACAGACGGATGAGCAAAGCTGAATTTCCCAGTGTAATGTGACCAAAGACTACGCTGTTTTCTTCAAAGCTTCTTAAAGAGCCAGTGTCTTGGGAACAAAGACTCCCAGGTACACCTTCCTCCTGGCACCTTCCCCCTGCCAAGATCCCTCCTCTCTTACTGAAAACCACTGTGTGTAGAGAAGGAAACCAGGCCTCCAAAATAGCAGCCCCATGCAAATCTGCATTTTGAAACGAGGGCTGCGTGGGGCCAGCCGCTCCTGTTTGCTCCAAGCCCCATATTTAGGGTGACCAGATTTATCAGAAGGGAAAACTGAGCCTGTTGTTCTGGCAGAAGAAATGTTGAGGACAGAGAGGAAAAGTACAGCCTCCTGAGGGGAGGGTTGCTAAAATGGTGCTTCCGGAGGCTTCAGTGAGGTTGTCCTGGGTGACAAAGTGGGGCAAGTCACTGGAGGTCACAGGGACCTGTGCTTTGCACTCTCTACACTGTCCCAGACCACTGGCCAAGGTGGCCTTCCCTTGCTCCATACACAAAGAGAGATGGCAAGTGGAACCAGGTGGGGCTTCATTCTGGCCTCAGAAAAGGCCCAAGGGGATCACAGACTTCAGACCTCTGTGGGACCGTCATAGACAGGCAGCATTTCAGAGGACAAGACTATGGTTCTGACATCAGACTACTGGAGTTCAAATTCTGCCACTTATTTCCCTCCCTATCAATTTCTCAACCCATAAAAAGGGAGAGTAAGACAAATAATATATACTACAATGCTGAGTGAAGTGTCCCACCCAGAGAAACCATTTGATGAACATCAGTTGACTGTTCTGCTTCCTGCTTTTGAGAACTGAGTCTTAGGGGTTAAAGTCACTAGGAAGCAGATTCCAGGCAAATTTAAGGAATTGGAACAGTTCAGCCAGATGTTTCCAAAGGCTTAGAGACCACAAGGTAGAAATAAACACACAGTAGAATACGGATAGAGATCATATGGCTGTCAGGGTGAGCTACTTAATTTTATGTTTTCCCTACAGTACTTACCTGCCTTCTTCCCTCAGACAAAGTCTATCAGTCTCTCTCTCTCTCTCTCTCTCTCTCTCTCTCTCTCTCTCTCT